TGAGGGTGAAAGAGGAGAGTGCAAAAAACGGTCTGAAGCTCAACATCAAAAAAACTAAGATCATGGCCACAGGTCCCATCTCCTCCTGGAAAATAGAAGGGGAAGAGATGGAGGCAGTGACAGATTTTACTTTCTTGGGCTCCATGATCACTGCAGATAGGGACAGCAGCTACAAAATTAAAAGACACCTGCTTCTTGGAAGGAAAGTGATGACAAACCTTGACAGCATTTTAAAAAGCAGAGACATCACCTTGCCAAAAAAAGTCTGAATAGTCAAAGCTATGGTTTTCCCTGTAGTGATGTACAGAAGTGAGAGCTGGATCATAAAGAAAGCTGACTGCCGAAGAATTGAAACTTTTGAATTGTGGTGTTAGAGGAGGCTCTTGAGAGTACCCTGGACTGCAAGGAGAACAAACCTATCAATTCTAAAGGAAATCAACCCTGAGTGCTCACTGGAAGGACAGATCCTGAAGCTGAGGCTCCAATACTTTGGCCATCTCATGAGAAGAGAAGACTCCCAGGAAAAGACACTGATGTTGGGAAAATGTGAAGGCAGGAGGAGAAGGGGACGACAGAGGATGAGATGGTTGGACAGTGTCATCAAAGCGACCAACATGAATTTAACTGAACTCCGGGATGCAGTGGAAGACAGGAGGCCTGGCGTGGTCTGGTCCATGTGGTCACGAAGAGTTGGACACGACTAAAAGACTAAACAACAACAACAACTAAAATTAGAACAGTCTGTTCCAGCAAAAACAACAAAGAGTCTTACGGCACCTTAAAGATTACTTGCCTCTGAAGAATGGGTGCAGTCTAAGAAAGCTAGTGTCAAAAACGCTTGTTAATCATTAAGGTACCATAAGACTTGTTATTTAGAGCTTTACATCTCAACATTTTGCTCTGATTAAGTTTCTTTGGTTCTCTTTTCTTCTAGTGAAATGTCAGTCTCTCTCTCCCCGCATCTCTCTCTCTCTCTCTCACTCACACACACACACACACACACATACACACACACACACAGAGAGAGAGAGAGAGAGAGAGAGAGAGAGAGAGAGAGAGAAATTATATTGTACTGATAATGAATGTTAAGAATAACAAATCCATAATGGAACATGTTACATTCAGTACTGTACTTGCAGAAACATTTATCTATAACATATTGGCCCTTTCCTCTAAATGCTACTCACAAGGAGCAAAGTGAGGCCATCTCGCTGGAGAATAAGCCTGTCTCTAGAGAAACAAGCTACATCCAGTCCATAAGCTTTTACCAGCAGAAAGTTGCCATTGAGGAGTTACAGATGGTTCCTCTATACTTACTAAGAAAGTGTAGATGTAAGTTCTAGATTTTCCCTGGGAAAGAAGCTAGTAGAAGAATCTACTGAATGTCCTAAATGCGATTTGGAGAATCTTGCCTTCAATGCCAAACTAAAACCAAATTTAGAGATTTCTCAGACTTCTGGAGAAATTTCTTTTTTTTAATCCACTGAAGCTACAGGTGGGTTGTGGGGGTGGGTGGGAGAGAACAGCAAAAAATAAAAATAAAAATTGCTGAAGCAAAAACAGAGAAGGCCTTCCTCTCATAGGAGGGGTTAGAAAGTTTCCTGGAGGTCTGGTTTTTACTTCAGATGAGAGCAGTGATTGCTTTAGATCTTCCAAGCCATTAGATGATGGGATCAAAAATCTGGACAGCAAACACAAACCTGAAACTGGGAGAGGAGGTCTGGTTGGAAAGGAAGGTGTATGTTGTGGCAACAAGAGACTTTCAGAAGGAAAGTCTCATGACTAGTGAGGCCACTAAAGAACTACCAGAATGGCATGTGCTCTGTCATATCTGAGATAAACAATGATCTTCAAAAAGAAAGGAAAAGAGGGGAGCATGCAGAGAAAGCCTTCAGGCCATGTTACCAAGAATGCATTGGCTTCAGACTTCTAGTCCTGCTCTGCTGCAACAACTACAACACTTTCTGTTCTTTCAGGAAGTGGTCTTATCTGCATTGGGAATGGCCTATTTTAGGATGACCGCATCAAAGATCCCAGATTATGTTTCTATCTGTGCAGCTGAGGGTGTCTGCCAAAATATTTGCTTGCCAGAAATGGACAAAAACCAGGAGAATCTAATGGGAAGGCAACAATTTCATAGAAACTGAGTAATGCAAAGAAGAAAAGGTAAATATGTGATGCCCAATTTGTTTATGTAACAACATGCACTTGTGTATTCTGTTACTATTTGACCATTCTACATTGGATTAGGACTTTGAAAGACAGTAGAACCTTAAGGACTTTTAGGATGTGTAAAAGGTAAAGGTAAAGGTTCCCCTTGACATTTAGTCCAGTCGTATCTGACTCTAGGGGGCGGTGCTCATCCCTGTTTCCAAACCATAGAACCAGTGTTTGTCCGAAGATGTTATCTGTGGTCACATGGCCAGCGCAACTAGGCACTGAACAATGTTACCTTCCCACTGAGGTGGTACCTATTTATCTACTCGCCTTTTTACATGCTTTCAAACTGCTAGGTTGGCAGGAGCTGGGACAAGCGACGGGAGCTTACTTTGTTGCATGGGTTTGATCTTACAGCTGCTGGTCTTCTGACCTTTGCAGCACAGAGGCTTCTGCAGTTTAACCAGCAGAGCCACAACATCTCTAGGATGTGTACTGATATATAAAAATTACTCTTGAGATCACTGCATCCTGGCATAGAAGTTGCAGTCACTCCAACCTGTATTTGATGTATTGGTTGTGACTGAGACTAAGGGCTGGAGCTGACAGAAGGAACCCTCACCATCATGTTGGTGAGAGAAGTCCACCTATGAATGCTTCATATAATCGTAGAATAATGGAGTTGTAAGGAACCTTTAAGGATATAAAGTCTAACCTCCTGTTCAATAAAGGAATCCAATTAAAAATATATATAATAGAGGGCAAACTAAAGGCAATCTGTCTGAGACTCATTTTTTGAGGTTGAGAAGGTATAAAACTTGGAATGCCAGTACTGGTCCTTTAACTGGACAGTCTAAAAAGACAGTAAAAAGGTGATCTAGCCATATGATACGATGATTGAAGCTTTTTTCAGTGGGCAAAGAGATATGCTGAAATTATGATTGGGCAGCAATCCTTGCTGTAGTTCACGTTATAATAATGTGAGGTCACCTGTCTTCATCTTAAAAAACTCCTTCATATCAAAGGGAAGGTCTTCAGTCCTAAACTTTGTATCCTCATTGATAGATACCATATGTAGCTATGCATGTCTCCTAAACACAACTACTTCACTGATTATATTAGAGGCAGCAAATTGCCAAACAGAACTGGTTTGCTTAATCTGTGAACCTCTAGCGCAGTGGCTTTATGGTCATCTGATAGACAGTGCAAGAAAGTTTTCATTTGCTCCCTGAGAAACCCCTGATACACAGCCATAGCAGCCTGACAGTTGCTAACGTGGACTGCTGGAATTGCAGAAGAATAGAAGCAATTATGTAGAATGTCCAGTTTCCGACACTTTCCATACACAGGTGATAAATGGGGTTTCTGTTTCTCATTTTTAAGAGAACTAGATTCATTCAAAAATTGCTAATTCATAAATTTGTATTTGTATGAATCAATGCCCCAACAAAAATGAATTAATAAATTTAGTAGTTTTTAATTTGTCAATTCATTTGGCTATAAAATGGCCCCCAAGGCACCTAGAGACACCAAAATTGC